TGTGTGGTGCTCACCCTCAGGTTTTGTATCTCTGGGTCCTTATTTTCCATGATCTTTTGACCACATCTAATCAGTCAGACCACAAATACGTGACAGGCCCATTCGCTGCCTAGTTCCTGAATGCCAAGACCAAAGCCACAACGCTCACAGGCCATTCTGCCATGAGCTGGAGAATGCCTACACACCAGCCAGCGAGTCCCCTGCTGGTCCTCCATGTGGATTCCCCAGGGCAGAGATGGCAGGACCCTTAGAGTTACTCTGATGCTGTACACCATTACCAAGGGATCAAGTGGCTCTGATTACACCTTGTGACACAGCTATGTCCTCCCTTCCCGTTGAACTGACCATGAGCAATCGGGTGAAGGCAGATGCTGGCCTCCAGTGAGAACCAGAAACTCCATTCACAGTCGTGGCCTTCACGCGCTGTGCGGGGATTTTGTTTCTCGTCTACACTGCAGGCCTGTTTTGCTCAATGGAGTTTTTTGTCTGGGGCCAGTCTCTCCTTTTCCATTGTACGGTGTGAAAGACAAACCAGCACCAGGAACCGGGTCCTTGTACCCTCTGCTCCAGGATTCTCCCTCCACTCCAAGTGCGGGCTAGGACCCGGCTCCAGCATGCTCTCTGCCCTCCCGCATGGCAGTCTGCAGCACTCCTGTCGGTACTGGCTGGACAACTCTGCCGTGGGGACCGTCCTGGGCAACTCTGCGGCATCCCTGGTCTCTATGCACGAGATGCCAGTAGCACCTCCCACCCACCAGACCCAAAATGTTCCCCAAGTTGTCCCTGGCTCAGAATCGCTGTTCCAGAGCTTTGGCAAGAATCAAGTTTCCCAGTCTGGCTCATAGCCAATGACTGGCTGATACTGGTGTGTGAAAGGCCAGCTCCCTGGCTCTAGCTGTCCCTAGAGAGGGAGCAACTGTGCAGAGTGAGTTTATGATGAGCTTATGATGGAGAGTCCCCTCCCCGCTATGGGCCAGCCCGGCTCTGGGTTTGGCAGGAGACCACGCAGTGCTTGGCGATTAACCCTTATCTAGAAGGACTTTCTCAAGCACCCTATTTATGGAATGAATTATGTCCCCTGAAAAGACATTCTGAAGTCCTAACTGCCAGTACCTCAGAATGTGACCTAAGGGCATTGCCGACATATAGAAGGCCCCCAACTCACAGTGGCTTGACTTACAATGTTTTGACTTTATTATGGCGTGAAAGGGAGCCCATAAAAACACCGGTTTCCATTCTCAGTAGAGTTCAACACCTTAGGCAACACTTGGTTGTAAAGCAGAACTTGCGCTAGACGGTCTGGCCCCGCGTAGGCTGATCCAAGCGTTCTGCGGGCATTTAAACCCGGCCGAGCCAAACTCGTGTGCAGCAGATCCAGGGGCATGAACTGCACTTGGGACTCAGGATGGGCTAGCTGGGATGTGACCCTGTCTTAAGTCCAGGAGCACCTATGATGATTTTATCTAGGATGAGGTCACACTGGAGCAGAGCCAGTCCTAATCCACATGACAGGTGTCCTGGGAGACACACCCGGGGAGAAGCTGGCCATCGACAGCCAAGACAGAGAGCAGACAAATGCAGCTGGGAGCCAGGAAAGGTTGAGAAGCACCTGCAAGCCAGAGCCAGGAGGGAGCCAGGGGGAAAGACCGCGGAAGCTGTGAGGGAGCCTGGCTGTACCAGTGCCTCCATCTTGGAGGCTGAGCCTCCAGGACTCCAAGACAATACATTTCTGGAGTGTTAAGAGACACGGATTCGTGCCCAGGAAACTAACCCACGTCCCCATCCCTGTCATAGGCTGTGCTTCCAGAGAACCCAACATAACCAACTGGTTTTTCCGCCCAGAGAGCGCGGAGCCCCAGGTGAGCAGGACACTCTTCCCTGCAAGTCAGCATGAGCTCCTTGTCTCTCAGAAAGTATGGCTCTGGCATTCAAAGAGAAATCCATGCAGCACGATTCCCCCAAGTCAGTGTTACTAACATGAAAACTCTCAGTTAAGATCCACAGATTCAGCTGGGGTTGTGGCTCAGCGGTAGAGCGCTCCCCTAGCACGGGCGGGACCCGGGTTCAATCCCCAGCACCACATAAAAATAAAGGCATTGTGTTGTGTCCATCTACACCTAAAAAATAAATATTAAAAAAAAAAAAAAAAGATCCACTGATTCCCCAACTGCAAGCTGGACCTCCTGTGTTGGAATCAGGGGGAGACGGTGCCTTCCAAAGGGTTTTTTCAAGGGCAGATGTGACCACGCTCAATGAAGCAGGCACCTTGGTCCCTGCACGAGGCGCACTATATACTAAGAACTGCCATTTGCAAGTCTGTGTCCTCTGCTAGTGGAGAGTTCCCTGTATGATATTTATTTTGTTGATCCAACTAAAGATCTCTGGCACCTAATAGGACCTTAAGAAAAATAGGAGAAAAAAAAACTGAGCAAACTAGAAAAGAAGAAAGAACAAAGGGTAATAAGGGGGGAAGAGACAGAAAAATCTATCCAAAGGGTCTAGATGATTCTCCCAACACTGCTCTAAGCAGTTGTAAAAAAAATAAAATAAATAAAGTTCTCTTAATCATAAAAGGGGCACAAGAGGAGTCCTCGGCCAGGACTTCAGGGCCAAACCCACAGTGACAGGAAGGAACAGCCACCATCCGCCTGCCAACAGCACGGTAGCAAGCTCTGAAGCCCCGATGTGACATCACAGAGCGCAGATGAGCAATCCGAGCTGTTCCCACGCTTGAGAGATCTCAGTCTTACACACTTGGAGCTCACGGAGGTCCCCGGAGGTTCCCAGAGGTCCTCAGTGAAACTAAGGCCCGGCCTGCAGCTCATGCCGAGGACAGGGAGCCGGCCTGTCACCAGGGACAAACCTGCTTTCACAATGACAGAAGCCAGGCCCTGCTGTCCCTCTTTAGGAGGAAGGCAGACAGCCGTCCTTAGAGTCACTCGGCTTCTGAAATGGCAGCTGCCCTGCTTTAAGAAGCCACGAGGTGGGGAGTGGGCAGACAGCCTCTCCCCCCCTGGCCTTCCCCACGACGCCCACGCAGGTGTCATGACTGTGTCCTGACAGGAGCTGGCCCCTGGGGTGGGCTAACCACCCACCAGCTCCTTTACCCAGGAGACCCCTTAACTCCGAGCTCACACCTGCACGGGGGTGTCCCTCCCTCCACTCCACCCGTGAGACAGCACGGGGACCCTCGCACAGCCAGGACGTGGCGGGGAGGATGAGCACCGGTCACCTCCTTCACGCTTACCAGACTGAGGATGGCCCAGTTCCCCTCCCCTGGGTCCATCTCCCAGCCCTGTGTCTGCTGCTGCCATCCCACAAGTTTCCGTAAGTCACCAGATGTCAAGCATCACGGGAGACACACAGGAAGCACACTACCCACCCCGCTGGTAGTCCCAGGAGGGAAGATCCGCCCAGAGGAACGGCCAGGTGCTGGGCTGGGGTGACAGCAGACCAGCCAACACCTTGCCCACCCTCTCCCCACCCTCAGCACCTCAGCACAGCCCGCCTGCCAGCCAGATGCCACCAGCTGCACTCGTGGACACGTGCAGAGGTCAGAGGTCTCCTGGCCTGCCAGTGCCACAGACCCGGGGTGTCAGGGAATGGACCTCCCGATTCCCAGCAGCCCTCCATCAGTGACCAGCCTAGCAGAAGCTGGTGGACAAACACCCGGCACCTCGCCCCTCTGCGGCGTGATCCACATGAGCACCCAGTTTCCACAGCAGGGGGAGGAACCAGTCACCTCCTGGGACAGCCAGCTAGATGTCACCTGTCACCTCCTGATGTCCCCTCCCTCAGGGTCTTCTCGAGGAATCCAAACTAAGGGAGGGATCATCTTTACCATTGAACACCCACTCACACACACACTCACACACTGATAGTGGAACAGTCTCTTTTGTCCTCGTGTTTAGAACCTGCACCTGAGGGCTGGGGGTGAAGCTCAGGTACACAGTGTGTGCACAGCATGCATGAGGTCCTGGGTTTGGTCCCCTGTACCCGGCAAAAGCTGCACCCCTAGATGTGGAGCAGGGTCATCAAACCTTTGGCCAAGAGAGCACAGCTTTGAGGTGCACCTGGCGTGTTCATGTAAAACGATCCTGCCGCAGGGGTGGACTGTGGTCACCCGTGTGACAGCTGGATGGGCCTCGTACTGGTTGGGTCTTCCCCTTGCCTGGGTGGGGGGGGTCCAGATCCTCCTACCCAGCCCTGGGTGGCCTCCCAGCAGCAGCCAATCACAGGTCCCCCGCTGCGGGGGTGGGGGTGGGGGGACAGGAAGCCAATCTAACAATTTGCCTGAAAAATATCCATGCATCAGCCAATTCTCCTGCTCACTTTTTTTTTTTCCCCCAAATCAATTTCTGGAAGTCAGAATGACGGATAGCTTTATACCCCAGACAATCATTCTCCTGATTAAATAACTCAACATCAATAACAGAACAAGTCCCAGAGTGGTGCTGGTTACATGAACCTACATATGTGGTGAGATTTCACAGAACCACACACATAAACGCGCCCCGCCCCCAACACACACACCCGTGCAAAAAAAAAAAAAACCAAAAAACAGGGACATCTGAGCCAGGCCTAGGCTAATCACCATTATCCATTTCTTGATGTGGCTAATGTACTTTGGGGTACATTGAAATGCTGTCCTTGGGGGACAGAGGACACAGGAACTGCATGCGCTTTCCTCAACCTCTTTGGAGTCAAAAATTTTTAAATAATATCTGGGTGCATGACGCATGCCTGTCATCCCAGCAGCTCAGGAGGCTGAGGCAGGAGGATCCCGAGTTCAAAACCAGCCTCAGCCAAAGCGAGGCACTAAGCAACTCAGTGAGACCCTGTCTCTAAATAAAATACAAAATAGGGCTGGGGATGGGGCTCCGTGGTGGAGTGCCCCTGAGTTCGATCCCCAGTCCCTCCATCCCAAGAAAAAATTAAATAATAAAATCAAATTAAAATGATGCTTTTTTCTCAAAGCTGCCGAGGAAGCGCACCCTTACCTGAGAGCTGGGGATCAGCGCCTTCCACCAGTGCCCGCCCTTCACCAGGTCCACCTCGCACAGGGGCACGGACACTTTCCCAATGACGCAGTGGCGGGAGAACTTATCAAAGTCCACCACGGTCAGGAGCAGGGTCCTCCTCTGGGCCTCGAGGAAGGGGATCTCGAAGGTGTAGCGCTCCTCGAACACGGGCTTCTGGGTCTTGCGCTTGACCGCCGTCTGCTTGGAGTTCTTCTGGTCGGGCAGCAGGCAGATCTTGACGTAGGGGTTGGAGTGCGCCAGGTCCTGGCGCGCGCCGTCGTGGGAGATGGGGGGCGGCAGGTCCCGGGCCTCGATCACGCGCACCGTCAGGTGGTTGTGCAGCAGGTCGTACTGCGTGCTGAAGTGCAGCATGCCCAGCTGGTACCTGGACAGGATCTCCTCGTCCGTCAGCGAGTCCACGTCGTCGCTGCTCGAGTCCAGGGAGTAGAGGCGGGGCTCGAACTTCCTGAAGTAGTCGTCGGGGGTGTAGGTCCGGCGCAGCACCGACGGCTGGATGGGCTCCTTCTTGGCGCTGAGGACGCCAAACTCAATGGGTTTGATGTCGATGAGCGGGGAGCTGGGGCGCCGCGACTCCAGACCTACACGGCCCCAAGAAATGACAGTGAGTACCGCCGCCTGGAGGACATCGGCAGCAGCCGACAGGTTCTCAGTGTCCACTCTGCTCTGAATGCTCTTCTCTGCACACTTGGAAAAACGGCTGTCCCTCCATCTGTGCGGGGGACTGGTCCTAGGATCCCCCGAGATACCAAAAATAGGTGGGGGTTCAAGTCCCTGGTATTAAACTGGGGTGGTGTTTGGGGCACAGAACAGGGGCACATCCGCTTGCCCCTTTCCAGGTTATCTATAACCCCCAGTCCCCTCTCAGTGCCAAGTCCTATGGAAATAACTGTCCTACTGTGTGGTTGAGGGATAAGACCAGGTCTGTACATGTCCCATGCAGACGCTTTCTTCTTTCTCTGAGTATTTCTGATCCACAGCTGGTGGAACATGGGGACACAAAACCCTTTTAATATTGAGACAGAGTCTTGCTAAGTTGCTTAGGGCCTTGCTAAGTTGCTTAGGGCCTTGCTAAGTTGCTGAGGCTGGCTTTGAACTCGGAATCCTCCTGCCTCAGCTTTCCAAGCCACTGGGAGTACAGACGTGTGACACAGGGCCGAGTGGACTCTCCATTTACACCAAGATCACACCATCGCCACCCTCACAGCAGCCAAGGGCCAGGTACCTTCTAGACGGACCGCCTGTCCAGGTCACCTGATCTTTTCAGCCCCTTGAATTATTAGTTTCACTCTCGTCCCTGCTTTACAGACGAGGAAGCAGAAACTTTAAGGAACGTCCCAAAGGTCACAGGCTTCTAGGTGGAGGAACCAGGTGACGAGCCTGGCCCATCTGGCTCTGGTCAGGACCCTGGGCTGCCCCTCCTGTAAGAGCCAGCGTGCCTGGCTCAGACTCCACTTGTCTACTTATTCCTGAGCGCTGGGACTCGGGGCACTTTATTATAGATTCTCTGGGGCTCAGTTTTCCCATCTGTAAATTTGAGTCAGTGCGGGCTCCTGCATCAAAGATGGTGGCACAGGTGCCTCCCCCCCACCATGAACCTGCAGAGGTCAAGGCCCCCATATCTGTCACTCTAATCTTTGCTCCTCCCTCTGTTCTAAAGATGACCTCATCGCATTCTCTCTCTCTCTTTTTATTTGGTACCAGGATTGAACCAGGGGTGCTTTACCACTGAGCCACATCCCCAGCCCTTTTTATTTTGAAACAGGGTCCCGCTAAGTTGCTGAGGCTGGCTTTGAACTTGCAATCCTCCTGTCTCAGCCTCCTGAGTTGCTGGGATTACAGGCATCCACCATCTCACTCAGCACAGCATTCTTAATTAATTGCCCGAACATCTGTTTTGCCAGCAAACATCATCAGACTCCTGCCTGAGGCACGGGAGGTCTGCGGATAACTGTGAGAACAAAATCCCCCATATTCAGAGCTGGGAGTGAGACTTGGGAATCATGGAGACCAGCGCTGTCCACAGAAATACAATGACAGCCAGGAGCGCAAGCCGTGAGAGTGACTTAAAATGATCTAGCCGCCACAACTTTTAAAACATGCAGAGAAACAGGTGAAATGAATTTTCACAATTTATTATTTGACCTACTAGTTGAGCATCACTCATCTCAAAACTCAAAATCTGAAATATTCCAAAATCCAAAATTTTGGGGGAAGAGACGGGGGTATCAGGGATTGAACCCAGGGGTGCTCGACACCTGAGCCACATCCCCAGCATATTGAGACAGAGTCTCACTGAGTTGCCTAGGGCCTCGATAAGTTGCTGAGGCTGGCTTTGAACTTGCAATCCTCCTGCCTCAGCCTCCCAAGCCACTGGGATTACAGACATGTGTCACTGTGCCTGGCCAGAATCCAAATTTTTGAGCACCAACATGATGCCAAGGGTGGAAAATGCCACGCCTGACCTCATGTGACAGGTGGCTGTCAAAACACTAGGCACACTAAAAATACAGTATGAAATTACCTTCAGACTCTGCATGGAAGATGTATATGAAGCATAAATGAATTTCACGTTTTGACGTGGGTCCTACCCTCAAGATATTTCCTGATGTCTCTGCAAATATTCTAAAATCTGAAATCTGAAACGCTACCGACCCCAAGCATTTCAGATGAGGGACACCCAATCTGTATATCCAAAATAGCATTCTGACATGTGACTCATACAAAAACATTTCCGTTTAAAATGTGTAAAATTCTGACATGTAATTAATACAAAAACATTTTAGTTTAAAGTGTTTAGCATATTTTAAATTCTCTTTTTCATACCATCTTCAAAGTCTAGAGTGTGTTTTACGTTTTTACCCCTCCCAACCTGGCCCAGTGCCACTTCTGTGCCCAACAACAAGGTGTGGCTGGTGGCTGTTGCACCAGACAGCAACGTCTAGAGCTCAGGAGGCTTAAGAAGCTTAAAATGCCCTCAGTCCCCCTGATTCAAGACCTGAACTTTTCCCCCCTATTTCCTTTCTCATCTGCTCCCAGCAATAGAAGCCAATTACCTCCACCTGAATGGATTTGTCACTTTTGAATTTTAAGATTTTTTTCTTTCCATTAAAAGAATCTTGGAGCCAGGCATGGGGGCATGCGCCTGTAATCTCAGCAGCTCAGGAGGCTGAGGCAGGAGGATTCTAAGTTCAAAGCCAGCCTCAGCAACTTAGCAAGGCCCTAAGCAACTCAGTGAGACCCTGTCTCTAAAGAAACATACAAAAGAAAAGGGCTGAGGATGGGGCTCAGTGGCTAAGCACCCCTAGGTTCAATCCCCAGTTCTCCTGGACCCATAAAAGAAAATCTTGGACATCAACTAAATAAGATCAAGATAGTTTGGGGGAGTGATAGGAGGTGGGAGTCTTTGGACTTTCTTCTTCTTCCTCCTCTTTTCAACCCAAATCTTTCCTGGTCAAATGCACAAGGTACACAGCAGAGTGGACAAAATGGGTGGTCAAACTGACCCGAATATGCATTTTTTTTTTTAGGTTCAAAAGTAAGAAAATTTCATACACAACCCCAGGTGGCCAGCTTCTCTTAAGAAAGATCAGGCCACACTGGGACCAAGGCCTTGAGTTTTGAGACCTGAGCAGCAGCCACCAGGGCCCTTTCAATGAGACGTGAGCTTTCTAGTTGGCCACAGTCCCCACTCTGCCCTAGAACTCTACACCAGAGCATCAGCTGCCACTCGTCTCTACATGAGGGAAAGGTCTGTCTCTAACCAGCTCTCTGGCACAACCCCAAAGTCACCTGAATTAGCAAGCCCTGGGCTACAACGGGGCAACACTCTCCTTTTAGGATCTAAAATGATACATGGGAGAATGTCAATCAACTAGCAGAGTCAATCGAACGGGTGATCAGTAAGAGCAAAAATCAATCAAAATGATCACTCTTGACCGAGCTCAGCAGAAATCAGGGAGGTGTGACCTACTCCTCTTTCACATCATCATCTGTGTCACCTTGTCTCTTAGACTGTCACCCACTCCACCTCCTCCCCCCAGCAATGATGCCCTTCCCCCTCTCTCCTTGGGGACACTGCTGAGTGCCTGGGAAAACCAGCCAGGACCCCCAAGGGTCCCAGCAGGGACACTTACTGGAAATCCTCCGCGTCAGGCTGTATGTGGACTTGGATGTGTCTGAGGACGAGCGTCTCCCATCTGGGGAGTTGGTCCGGGGAGTGAGGGGGACGTCGCTGGCTGTGTGGACGGAGTCACCATCCTTCTCGCTGCTCCGGCTGGCCATCCTATGGCGGGGAAGAGGGGCCGCGGGTTGTCGAGCAATCCCCGGGGATGTGCCCCCCGACCCCCAATTTCATTGGCTGCCTGCACCTTTTATGCACCAGGAGCAGGAAGCAAGCGCATCTCCAATGGCTGAGGGCAGACCCTGGCACGGGATGAAAGACACCCCCAGGGAAGTGACTCTCAGATCCGTTCCATGCACTTGATGCACCTTGGAATAACACAGGTTATAGTGTGGTCACCTTAGACTCTCCGTAGCATCTTGCTTTTTGTACAAAATGTGACGTGATGTCCAGGAATAGTCCCCAATGTAGACCAATCTGTCAGGGATTTGCATTATTTCAAAGCTGGAGTTGGGTGGGGAGGGGGATGTGTAAATTCAGGCTGTTGCCACGTGGGGGCGCCACTTTGGCTAAGTTAAGACAGAGACTGGTCAAGGAGACCTGTCCATCTTGGGTCCAAAAGGGTACCTCGTGGTTGTTTATAGGCATCCAAATTTGTGCAAGTGGCTTCTGGTGACAAGAGTCCTACTATTTCAACAGTCCCTGCGTCTATAATTTAACATCCTTCAAAAATTTCCCATAACAATGTCATTCAAGGGTTCTCTGAGTGGCAGGGCATCCGCTGCAAAACAGCCCGGAGAATCAATGATTTAAGAACAGAAATTCGATGGGAAGAAACAGCCATGAATTTGCAGCAGCACCAACAGCCATGCCTCCAAGTGCCCTCCCCCCACAAGAAGGGACACATAAGGTTCTGGGGGGGGGGACGAGGAGATGGGGGGCGAGCAGGGAAGAAGTGATAGGAGGTGGTCACTCTGCGCCCTGGCTGGGTGATAGGGGCAAGTTCCTGCCCCTTTCTGAGCCTCCATTTCCCCACAGTGCTGCCTTGTGTGGCTGCCGTACCTGCTGGACACATTAACACATAGAAGATGCTAGAACAAAGTTTGGTATGCAGTGGGCAGGCGCTCGGTGCACGTCAGTGATGTCATGACAACAGGTGTGGTTTCAGGGTCTCCTGAATACCCACCAGGCTGCTGAGGAGGCTGGGGAGGGCAGGGGGCAGGGAAAGCTGGCAATGCGGACGGGGAATCTGCAGCTCCTAAGGCCCCTGAGTCACCAGGGCTGCGGTCCACCCTCCAGGCCACTCCCCCAGCCTGAGCTTCCCGCCTGCGGCAGGTGATTTCCAGGAAGTCTCCACAGGCAGAGCTGAGACTGCACCAGGTGCCTCCGATGGCAGGGGAGGGGGACAGGCAGGACCCCAGGCCCGGGTGCTGAGAGAGAAGAGCGAGAGGGGTGTGCTCACTCCCTGCCGCGGGTCAGTGAAAGGCGCAATAGCAGATGAGGGTGGGGCAGGGGCGCGGGGACAAGCTGAAGCCGTCCTGTCTGTCTCCTTTAATGGAAGCAGCCTCCTCCTCCAGGGAAGGAAGGACCTGAGGGTCTCCACCCGGGGCGCCTGGGGCACCTGTCCTCCTGCCAGGACTTGAATGTCACCACCCCAAAGCCTCCCAGACACAATCGCCGGCCTCTGCCGCCACCAGGCCCCTGCCGTCCCTCCATCAGGCCCAGCCATGCTGTTCTCCCTGCCCAGAATGTCCCTCAAGTCCCCTGGACCAGCGTCTTTTCTTTCTCTCTCTCTCTCTCTCTCTCTTTTTTTTTTTTTTTGTACCAGGGATTGAACTTAGGAGCACCTGACCCCTGAGCCCCATCCCCAGCCCTATTTTGCATTTTATTTAGAGACAGGGTCTCACTGAGTTGCTTAGGGCCTCGCTATTGCTGAGGCTGGCTCTGAACTCGAGATCCTCCTGCCTCAGCCTCCCGAACCGCTGAGATGGCAGGTGTGTGCCATGGCGCCCGGCTCCAGTTCCTTCTTAATGTTTAGGTTGCCGAGGGTCCCCATCCTGTGCTGGTCACCTCCCCGCCCACCATATCCCTGCTCCTTTTCTCCCCCCTGCTGTACTCCCTGAGGGCTCCTCCTCTGCCTCTGGCACCACTCGGCAGCTCCCTGTGGGGGACTGTGCCCACCCACCTGGCCTCACGCGGTGCCTGGCACACTGAGATGCCCCACATTTCTCTTTTCAATGAATGAATGAACACGCCTTTCCCGGGGTCCTTATCTGAGTCTCAGGTCACAGGTCTCTGAGTGAATGTCCCTTGTCCCCTCTCTCCCCTCTCACACGGGGTTACGCTGCTGAATGGGGGGGTCTGTGCTCGTGGTAATGAAAGATTCCAGGTGCCGAGCACCTGTGGCGTGCCAGGACGTGCACAAACGCACCACTTCACTTCACCTTTCATGCAACCAGGGGTCAGGGTGAACCCCGTCCCCTCCCTCAGGGGTCCTGAAATCGAAGCCCCAGGGCCACACGTGGGGGACAGAGGGATAGGGAACAGGCACAACCGTGATGAGCAGGGCCCCAACTGAGCCCAGTATAATGTTGAGGTCTGCAAGTGGGGCATCCCCTGTGGGACCGGTCCCCACTGTGCACACACTAGACACTTAAGGTATGCGCCAAGGACAAATAAATAAGCACGGTTATTTGATTGTTACTCCTCAACAAGGGATGCTCTGACGTGACCCCACAGCAGCCAATCAGATCATGGTTTTTCGGACCCTTACCAGCCCAGCCCCACCCAGCTGAAGAAAGCTGGTGACAGTGAGCACGTGACAATAAGGTGTCCCCCAAGATCACCTGCAGAGCACAGGCAAAGGGCCAGCTCCTCTGCCACGTGCCGCTACACAGAGGCGCGCCCAGTGGCTCCCAGCTCCCATGTCACTGTAGGAGCAGCTCCGCCAAGCCGGCGCTAGTGACATCTCTCCTCCCTGCCTGTTCGATAACATTCAACTGCCCACTTGGTAAATAAATCTGGGGCGAACACAAGCTGTAAATTCGCTTTCTGAACGACGTACCCTGCCTCCCTGGCACAGATTTCGCATGCCCTGTCGCATTCGGTCGAGTGCCCAAAAGTGGGTTAAGCGCTGCTCAGGGTCGAGGGGAGGAGACCTGGTTCATCCTGGGAAGCGTGAAGCTCATGCATGGCTGTTCACGCTGCAGACTGCACAACTCTAGATGGTGCCATTCAGCCAGACCACATTGTGAAGGATGCCATCTGGAGTGTGCGTGGTGTGCTGACCCCAGAGGGAAAGTTCCGGTCCCCTTCTTCCATCTCTCGGCTTGCGGCAAAACCAAAGGACATGGGTCTACTTGTGGTATCTGCCCACCCGGGGCCCATTCCCTCCTCTCTGGAGTCAGCAAACCGCAGAGCCAGACCCCCGCCCGACCTTGGAATGGTGTGTCACTGGATTGCAGCCATGTCCCTCAGTTCTGTCTTATCAAGGCTGCTATCACACAGCTGCACGAGAGGGAAGAGGTTGCCATATGGCCCCTCGGTTAAATATTCACCCTCCGGCTCCTGACGGGAAACAGTCGCCAGTCCTCGATGCCCCAGCTTAGCTCCTGTGTGATGGTGGCTCTGGGGTGGGCAGGCGACCCAGAATGATTCTAAAGCATCATTCCTCCAAGGGAAGGGCTAGGTCAAGTGACTGACCCAGGACATAAGCCAGGCCAGTGAGTCTCTCCTAGTTTGGGTTTCTTTGTATTTTTTTTTTTTCTTGCTACAAAGACAATAGAAGGTAAGTCTAGTGCTAGCATGTGGGGAGAGCAGGCCCATTCAAAAAAGAAACAGAAGAAAGAAACGATATCACGTGAGCTACTGGATCCAGCCATGCCTGAAGCCCTCATCCACAGACTATCCATAACAAGACCCTCTGCGGGGCTGTCCCATACGGTGTGCAGGGTGTGAATGCACAACGCATGGGGGCAACTGGACTTCCCCACCTGACTTAGGTCCTCTATGAAATCCAAAATCCCCCAGCATGATAACAGGACCCCAGCTCTGTGTGTACTCAGGAAGTAACTACCAAAAAAATGACAGTCACTTTTCAAATGGATGGCTGGCACTTCCGGGATTCCTTTTCCACCTGTAGGTTAAACTGGTTTTTTGTTTTTTTTTTTAAATGGACAAGACAGGCACAATTCCCTGTCCTGCCAGAGTCCGCCCTCTTGCAAGCAGAGCTTTAATGAGACCAGATGGGCTGAGCCAGTGTCTGCCACAGAAGCTGCCGCAAGGTGGGAATTACTTCTCGATGAATGAGTTGCTTTCACCAACGTCTCAACTTCAGACACACTCAGAGGACTCGGGCTGCCCACAGATAATGGAAGAGATCCTCAGCACCTTGACCCCAGCGTCAAGGCTCTCTATCCACAGCTAGTAATGGCAGAAGCCAGTTCTTACAGAGCTCATACTACGGTGCTGAGCGTGCGGTATGCACCTCTCACTTACCCTCGGTCACAATCCTGTAAATTCTTTTACTATTCCACTTTCCAGAGGAGGAAACCAAGACCAAAGTACAGTAAAAAGAATCCCATTCCTGATCGACAAGGTGTGGCCAGGCATCAAGTACTTTTCCATACGGGAATTCATTTATTCCTGCAATTAATCTCAGCACTAGGAGATGCCTCTATCTTATCATCCTGTTTTACAGATGGGAAACTGAGGCACAGAGTGATTTTTTTTTTAAAGTAACTTGCCCAATTCACAGTACTAGAAAATGACTGTAGAAATAGGATTTGAACTCACACAGTCTGACAGAGAGCTACTCTGCTGTGGAAAGATCTGGTACTTGCTTTTCTGTTTTTGTTTTTGGTACCCAGGATTGAACTCAGGGGTGCATAACCACTGAGCCACCTCCTCAGTTCTTTTTGTTTTTTTTAATCTTGAGACAGGGTCTCACTAAGTTGCTGAGGCTGGCCTCAAACTTGCGATCCTCCTGCCTCAGCCTCCCGAGTCTCTGGGATTACAGGTGTGGGCCACTGCACCTGGCTAAAGTTTGCTTCTAAGGAGAGAAAATGAGAAGACTGAGGCATGATCCCCAACTTGCAGGGAAAGCCGGGCATCAGAAGCTTCTGGAATCTCAGCCCAGGGACTCAGCTCGGACAGTACAGGGTACATGCCCCGGGGCTGTGGGGACTGGTACCACCTCTCTCTCTTTTCTGGGGCTCCTCCCCGGCCCGAGGAGCTGCACTTGATGATTTGCAGGCCCTTCCTCCTGGCCTTTACCCAGACTCTCTGACCATGTCCCTCTCCCAGCCCCAGGGGTGGGACCAGACACGTGGCTGAGAAGCTTCAAAACTGCGTTCCCAAAATATCTGAGCGACTGGCAGATGGAGATGTTGTATGCAGGCGCGGGAGGAAAGCGAATTAGAAATAAAATGAAAGATAGCTAGCGAGAACATAAACAGCGTTGGAGGACTGGATGGAGCCGGAGGTACTTTCCTGCTTCCTTGTTTCTGAAATTCTGGTTTGGACCAGCAAAGAAAAAAAAAAAAAAGGCAATTGCTTATTCATCCATCTACCCCTTTGTGCAAAAAATATTTATTGAGCATGTACTAAAGTGCAGAGAGTCAGGACAACTTGTCTGGGATGCAGACCCTTAGACTGCGGTCACCCTTTGAAGCATGCCAACGTGCACAGATCTCTGTTCCTCTCGGAATATCACTCCCCGGGATCCAAAGGGCCCCACCATCAGCACTGGGAGGCCATCACCCATCTCAGAAGCCCCGTGTGAAACCAGCGGAACTACAGCTACCCCACGGGCCAGCCGGCGGGACCCAGCTTGCCAAACAAAACAAGGGGTTCAGGACACATCCCCACCAGCAGCCGAGATGCCCCACGGAGCCTCACACCCCAGAATCAATCTCTCTCCGGTGGCCCGGACCCGACTCTCAGGTGGTACTTACAGCCAGGGAGGAGTCTGCGCTGGGAAAGGCCCCAGGATTTCCACTTCATCCTCACTTGACTGGCAGCAGCTGGACTCGTAGCACTTCTGACAGCAGTGCCGGCAGCTCCATCTACACATCAGCAGATCAGAGATTCTAGAAAGAAAACCCTGAGGCCCCGGGGGAGGTGGGCAGCGGGCGAGGGGGGAGAGGGAGGGGAGAAACAACACCCAAAATTACAAGCAGCCGATCCCCGGCGGGAAACAAAGACAGGAGCATGACTCGGAAGCGGAGCCCGGAGAGCAAGATGTTTTCCATCTCTGTTTACCCACCGCGGCACAGAGACGGCCAACATCCGCGCGCCCAAGGCGCTGACAGCCAGCCACACACATTTGCAGGTATTTCTTTCCTAGTGTCTGGGAGCATCTTTCTTGGTTGGCCTTTGAGTGTTTTCTAGAACCCCGTGAGGGCTAGACAATAGGTTCTCCCAACACCGATGAGTCTTACTCTCTTCTTGCAAAGCAAAGAAGCAAAAAAAATTGTTTTCTTTTTTTCCCCCAATGATCTCGAAAGTGAACCGGGAGAGTCAAGTGGAATGAGCCGGGGTAGGGAGGGACATCTGTCTTACTATTAGTGCTTCCTCTGACACGGGGATTGCCTTTCAGTCAAAAGGCGGGGGAAACGGGGTGCCCCTGGTCCACAGCCAGTTATTACTGAATCGTCAACGTCCCCGAAGCCCCACATGACACTCCAAAACGAGAGACAAGCCCTTCTTGATGAGAAAACCAGACCCAACACATCATCGAATTAACCCACCTCGTTCAGTGGTTCCAGCTGCCCTTTTAGAGATCCACACCGAAGCCCAGGGGCGGGAGGAGGTGAGGGTTGGAAGAGAGAGAGAGAGACCAGTTTAGCCATATTCCAAAAAAAAAAGAGAGAGAGAGAGAGAGAAGCACGTCACCTGGAAGGCACCCTGCATCTTCCACTTACCATCCTGGGAAGGGAGAGGAGTTTCTAACAAGGTGTTGCTATGCTCAGGACTGCTGGTAGCCTCCTGATTAGCCAACACCGAATGAATGGGCAACTTGAGCATTTCGATTGGGTTTGCACCGTATGCTGTTATGAATCAGAGCGGGTGGATAGAGAGTCATGCTATCCAGCACAGCCAGACTCCAGGGGACTCGCAAACCTTCCTATACAGAAATAGCCACGAAGCCACCCCAAAAGGACATGATGAGCTAGCGTGCAGGCAGGCACCGAATGGATGTCACTTGGAGCCCACGCCCTGCCGGAGGCCCTACCTTCCAATTCTGCTCCAATAGTGATGTGCAGAGTTTTATATGACCACCCACTAATTGGGGGAGTTGGACAGGAAGCTGCAATCAGGTCCTCAGGAGGCGGGGGGTGGGGGTGGCCCCCCACACACACACCCCGTCTTCTTCTCACAGGTTCTCAAGGCGCAGACTCCCCCACCCTCTTGCTAATGACTTTCAAATGGGCCGAGTAAACCAGGAAGCTCAGGGGCCTGCAGCCCAGCCCAGGATGCCTCCCGAGATGCACTGGGGTGCCCAGCTCAGAACTTTGAAATCAAGAGGGAGATGTTATCATCTTTTGGGGGGGGTCTCTTGCAAGCAGGGAGAAGGTCTCCGTTTCTCCCATGGACATATTAACATCTTTCTGACCCTGGATCACGCCCACCTTCCCTCTGAAACAAAGGAAGGTGAGCCCAGCTCTGAGCCCCAGGTCCACCTACCCCGCTAGCAGGGAATGATACGGAGTCGCTTTCCAGTTACTTTCTGCATCCACCACCACGTGATCCCGGTTTCCTATTAGGGTACTTGACATAAAGTTTCCTCTTCACATGATTTTTTGAAGTTAAAAAAAGTCCATTTATAGAAAAAACAATTAATAACAGTATAGGTCATACATGGCTCATGAAAAGCTCAGAATCCTTGAAGCTGCCAGAGATGAACTGCAGCTTGGGAAAGACTCCAACATACTCCCCCAAACCCCAAACTCAAACCACACACAGAACAATATCTGAAGGTGCACCCAAAGGAGCCGGGTGGGGGAGTACCAATCCTGGCCCTGCCCCACTGACTGGCCATGTGACTTGAGCAAGGCAGGGAGCCTCTCTGAACCTGTTGCTTCTTTTGTTTAGTAGAAAGGCCACTCCCTACTTAAAGGGGTGCTGTTGAGATGGGACATGGACTTTGAAAAAGCTTGGGTACTGCCTGGCTGCAAAATAAAATGCACTCTTTCTGTGTCTTATGAGAACAAGGTGATTGATTGCCCAGGCCCCAGGTATTGTCCTGGCACATACACAGAAGTACACGGATCAGCAGGAATCTATCACCTGGCGGGGTTTACAGGTGAAAGTGCTTCAACTTTGTTTGGAATAAAGTGATGTTTATTTACAAAGTCCCATGTCCATTCTCTCATTCCCTGGGCATAGGCTGGTCAAGAGGGAACCATCTATAAAACCATGATGACCAGACCCAAGGCCACTGTGTGCCCCTGCTGAGGATGCACAGTTTTATCAAAGCCCAGGAGCAAGATGAGTGCCGTGGAGCAAAAAGAACCATGAAAGGGTCAAGGGAGGAGAGGTCCTCTGGATTGCTGACTCTTCCTCACACTGGGGGCCCTGGGCTCATGGGTGGTCAGCAATGGAGAACTGATTGAGACCAGAAGGTAAGGGAAGGAGAACCCAGCTAGTCTAAACAGAGGCGGGCAGGTAAGACTCCAAGGTCAGCGCTGGCCACAGAGCCTGCTTCTCTCTACAGCCCTCCAGCTAAAATGGATTGGTATATTTTAAATGGCTGGGGGGGGGGGAGTCCAAAGTAGGTTACTCCTTATGGACTTGTGCAAAATGTCTGAAATTTAAATTTCAATGTCCCAAACAATTAGTTTTATTGGAACACAGCCACGCCCACTCAAGGACTGCAGTGGCTGCTTTACCCAGACAGAGTTGAAGAGCTTTGACAAAGAGCATGTGAGCCTCCAAGAAAAAAAATATTCACTTTCTGGCACTTCACAGAAGTTCACCAACTTGTTCTGTAAGGAAAAGTCGGTATCAGGAGCCCTCACGTGAGATGCTGAAGGTTACCTCCCATACTATCCCCAATGGGCATTTTAGATCCTACCTGGACCCCTGAGCAGCTGGGTGGCCTTGGGCAAGCATTAATTTCTGGGCTGCAGGTAGTCATTAAAAGCCCCCAAAGGCTTGTTTTAAGGTTCATTTTTCAGTAGATTGTGCATCCAGAGGGGCAGGGACTGTGCTGCTGTGTCCTCAGCACAGGGGGTGGTCACCCAAGCATTTGTCCAGTGACGAGTGAACAGTCTCCGGACAACATTCAGCACATAGTAAATATGACCTTCGTTGAACTTGAAATGAGGACCTAGGGATTCCACGAAAAGGAAGCCAATCCAGGGATTCTTAGCCTCAAAAAGGAGTGGGGAGTCTCTGCCAGGTGACAGACCACAGAGTCCTTGGGTCTGGGGACAAGAAGAAGGAATGCGTGAGCCAGCAGCCCCCAGCCTGGGCTGAGGGGATAAGATGAGGCCCGGGGAGGGGTAAGCGTTGGCTTTACTGCCAGGCTCAGGCGGAGGAGCCAGCTCCCGAAGGCAGCAGCTCCATGGGTCTGACAGCCAGTCTGACTGTGTGACCTTGGCATTGACCTGTCGCCACTTCTCTCTTTGCAGAGGAGAAACGTCTCTCAGCCCAGCTCATCCCCACCCCACCTGCCAAAAAGGTGCTTGGAGATTATTTCACCCCATGGGCTCCTGGGGGAGCTTCTTCAAGGTGAAGGGGGGAGGGTCCAAACTCCCAGACCCCAATGCAACGAGCTAAAGTGCCCAGCTCCTTCACCTTCGCCAATGCGCTCTGGCCTCTATGTCCCCCACCCCTCAGTACTCAGTGCCCGGGAGAGACGACGTCCTTGTCCCTCCTGGCCGGAACAGCTGCCTCAAGCTCGCTCCGCCGGCCAATTAGCCGGAGCCGTCACCACGGCAACGGCAGCTGGCGGGCCGGGCGGCTGGCGCGCCCCGGGCCGCCCTCTCCGCGGCCCCTCCCCTGGGGTGGGGTGCCAGGGGGAGGACAGGCGGGCGGGGGGGGGGTCCGCCCCACCCCCATTCCCTCCCGGGGAGGCGAGGGCGCGCAGGCAGAGCCCACGAGGGCCCTCCATCCCGGGGTCCCGGGGTCCCCTGTTCTTTTCCCGGGGCGCACCGCCGCTGCCGCACGGGTCGCCTGCGCTCGGGCACCCTTTTTTCTCGAGGCAAGTTTGTGGGAGCCTGGCCGCGTGCCCTCCCCTCGGCGCGCGCCCAGCCGGAGGGCGCTGCCCCCGGCGGCCCGCGCCCCCGCCTCAGCCCTACCTGGATGTACGCCATCTTCGCCCGCGCGCACTCACTCCGGCCCGGGCATGGCGCCGCCACCGCCACTTTGCCCTCGCCGACAGGGGCGGGGGGAGAAAGCAAGGGGGAAAGGAAGGAGAAGGCAGCCGGTGGCCCCAGACGTGACTGGCGTGGCTGATGAGCGACGCCCGCCCCTCCGCCGGCCGCCCCGTCCTTGCCTCCCCTGCGTTCCGGCTCTCGGAGTCGGGCCGCCTCCCCGGATCGCAGAGCTCGGCACCCGGGGCCCCCGCCGCGGCCTCCCTGGCTGTCCCGCGCTCCCCCCGAGGCGCTCCCAGGCTGGAGTAAGGCCGGGCCGCCTGGGAGGGAACCCGGGGCAGCCGCGGGGACTGCAGCGACCCCGGCGCGGGCGGGGCCGGAGACGCCGGGGCCGGAGCTCGCGGGAGGCGGGGGAGGGGACCGGGCTGGGGAAGGGGGTGGCGGGGGCGGCGCCCAGGTCAGCCCATCCGGCGGGCCCCAGCGTTGGCACCACCGGTAAGCGGCGCTCCGGGGGTGGCCGCGAAGGTCGGAGTGCACAGCCTAGCCCGCCCTGGGGTCCGGAGCTGGGAGGGTCCTCCATCCAGCCCTCTCCCCAAACCCGCTTGGAAAAACTTTATTCCCGCCCCACCGGACGCGCCTAGAACGGTTACGGCGAAACAGGCAGAGGCTAAATGAGTGGGAGCCCTGAGCTAAAGGTGGGCGCAGGGAGCCCCAAGGGCGGTGCCGTGGCCGGGGCTCCAGGGGGCGCGCGGAGAGAGCGGAGCGCCCCGGTACCTAAACCTGCCCGAGTCGCGCCCTGGACGCAACAGGTCTAGCGCGGGGCGGCACAGCAGCGCCACCCAGCGTCGTGCCCGGCTCCTGCGCGCTTCAGCCCGCCCGCAACCGAGCCCGCCAGCGTGCGCCCCGGGGCGTGTCCACCGCCCGAGATCGTGGCTGAGGCGCCTGGACCCGAAGGCCTCAGCTAATCTCCCGGCCCAAGGTGCCCCCCCCCAGCCCAAGGCCACAGAGCTCGGTGTGGCTCTGCATCGAGGAATTTGAATCGAAACATAGCCCTCCGCTGGTTCGCCTCTTTAAAGGACCAGCTGTCTCCTGTTGCTGGTCTCCAGCTTTTCAGCCTTTTAATTTTAATCTCCCAGCGCCTCTGGGGATAAAATCTCTGTCCTGCTTGTCCTCCAGGACTGTTTTGTGGGAGTAAGTGAGAAAGTGAACGCGGAAGTAATGAAGCATGCAATACACATATGTGTATTTATTTTGTGTAAAAAGCCAGCTGGTGTGGATTTTGAGCATGATATGTTTAGTTTGTAGCACAGCACATGGAACATGCTGTGCGCTCCTAATCCGGCGGGCATAAAGCCAACGCTTCCTGGGCATTTTTCTATGTCATCCTCGAGCACCTTTGCTCACCTGAGTTCCTCTAGCACAAGCCTGAGTGTAGTAAGTAGAGAGCGAGGTTTTTTGAGGTTGTTGGGTTTTTTTTTTTTTTTTGGGGGGGGGGGGAGTGTTGCTGGATGGAACCCAGGGCCTTGGGCATGCGAGACACTCTAGCAGTCTACCAACTGAGCTATTTCCCCAGCCCCAAGTTTTGCTATTGCTGCTGACATTGCTTCTGGAACGGGTGCTGCAATGATCCCCAAATTACAGATGGGGGAGACTGAGGGACAGAGAAGTAAAGCTGCTCACCGGGGGCCTGACAGCTGGTGTTGTAGGCCCTGGTCTTTCACACTGTTCTTAGCCACCTGGCCATGTTTCCCCAGCACTGATGGAGCGAACGCGGAGGTAATGAAGTGTTTGGGGGGTGGACTGAGCCAAAGAAGGATGCCTAGGGGACTGGTGTGCCTTGTGGGGACACCAAGG